CAAAAAGGTTAGATATCTAGGAGTCTAGGAGAATTATTCCCTAGCAGACCAAATGATCAAACTAATTATCGGTAAACCGATAAAAGCTATATTCAGACTTTCTTCACAGAGGAGTACAAAAATGCTGTCATTTAATTAAAAACATAACTCATTTCTATTCATGAGCATTGTCGGTACTTGCATGCAAATGTGGACAACCCAAGGCAAATTATACTCCCAATTGGTCCTTCATTTTAAATGGAATTAAAATTATGATGGAATTCAACTCCTTTAGTCATTGAATTGCCATCATATCATTGTCACTGCAGGATTTTGTCAAGTACATCACATATCGATGGCATTGCCAATGGCTGTGATGCTTTACAGGGGTTATTGATTGACTGGAACTAATAAGCTGGGTTGGCCGGTGGAGCTCGGCCAATGGCAGCGGTCCACCGATTCGCCACAACTTCTCAGTAGCAATAATGAGATGCAGCCTCTGGTCCAAAGTTATTTCTCTTTAATAGCCTTTATTGAGTAAATGACCATTAAAATCAAGTTTTTAACCCAACCACATGAATATCAATAGGCCATATCATGGCAGGACTATGCTCTGGCTTTCTACAACTGAATCACTTTCCCAGAGACAACACTATTGATCTTTCTGTTAAATGTAATGCTTTGGTGCACAGCCAGAACATGGGGCTTGGATACAGTGAAAATAAGTCACCTGATAACTGCATCTCCAGCAAAACAGCTGACTGGAGATGACTGCAAAATAGCACAGGATTTTCTCTCCTTTTGGAAAACCCATTTTACTCCCAAATTGTTGTTGTAACACATGGCGGATAATATTCTCACACACTGGCATTAAACATAATAAAAATCGACATTACATTCATTATTCATGCTCTGTTTTCTGTCACACTATTTCATTATCTCCTGCCCTCGCCTTGCCAAGTTTGATCTCTTTCCAGCTCTTTACCTGGAGGGATTCAGGCTTGGAATACAACAGTGCAGCAGTCTATTAGCCCTAAATTGACTTGCATTTTATTTGTTTGTCCAAACGCGGTGGATTACTTAGTTTAACTGCCTTCTCCACCTCATCTATTGTGCCCTAGTCAACAATGGTTGTCCATTATTGGTTGAGCAGCAGCGTTCTCAATTTGGCAAATGAAAACTGCAAACAGCAGAATAAGGCTCATTATTGTGTGGAGTGTGCGAGTGTTTACTTTCTATGTAAATGATTTTCGGAAGTTGAGCAACTTTAGACTGAGGGTTGGAGAAACAATAAATAATTATTGGATCCGAAATACACATTCAGAACTCCATATTTGTGACAACAACAAAACAATTTGAATTCCAGATATAAGCAATATAAACAGAAATGTGTTATATTAAAAAACAGGACAATTTCATTGCCGTTGCACAGAGAGAAAGAAAGAAAACACACTGGGGACTTGAACTTTGTGAACAAGCATCGAGAAATGACAAAAATAGACTGAAAAAAAATCATTTACCCAATGTTCTGACGCCTGATGAATATGTATTGATTATGACAAGCCACAGATAAAACCTGATTTGAACAATTTTTACTTCAAACCGTGCCATTTAAATCCCAAAAGCTTGCTCCTATTTTTGCCCCTGTCTTCTTCTTTCTTTGGATACCTATTTTAAAAGAACTTATAAAGGATGAATGTGAGACAGTTAGATGGTGTCAGACTTTAATGTCACCATTGTCTCCTTATTTTGACCCATAATACCTTTCTTCATCTCGAGAATGATGTCTATGGTCCATACCAGTCACGCTATAAAACGGAAGGTTTACCTGCATATTTCCAATGTGACTTTATCCTCTCCTCTAAAAGGAAACAATAACCAAAGACCCATATGTTTCCTGTGGCCCCAGAGTACCAGCTAATCTTCCTGGCTGTCTGCACGGTGAATCTATTATTCGAAATGGCAAAACAATCAGACTTTATGGCCCAGCACCACATCTACGGGAACGGGGACCGCACGTAATTTAATACTTCAGGAATTGGCTCTACAATTGTTGCCTCTGGCTCTCCCGCTGCATGCTCAATAGGGATGTAAATGCTGCTATGATAATGGCAATAACTAGGTTCATTGGAGCTAGTGATAAACTGTGAATTGAATGGATGACCCGGGGGCAGCGTACCTCGTCCCTGTGGCTCACTGATTTAGCGCAAAAAGAAAGACCTCTTTTATTATGGTGGAACCCAGTGACTCTTGTAAGAGAAAAAAAAAAAGTGAGTGTAAAAAATACTAGAGGATGGGCTGCTTTACAAGCTTTTATGTGTTTAGGGCTTTTTTCCCTTTAGGTAAGGTTCAAAGATGGATAAAATAACATTAAAAGTATCCAATTTAGCTTCAAGGTAAGGGTAGAAACATCACTAAATGGTTGTTTTCATCTTTAAACGACCAGAAGGAATGAAAGTACTCCAAATCCAAACTGCTGCAAAGTGTTTCATCTTTTTTTGGTGCTGTTTAACCTCCAATAGCTCTGCATCAGCGCATGTAAAGACCTCAGAAACCAAATATATTAAAGTATTCTCGTTTCAGATTTATCTTTTTTCATGTGGCTGCTGATCAAGCCCTAATTGTTTGATGCTCAGTCGTTTTACCATGGAAGCTCCATCAAAACAATTGGTGCTTACTTTATCATGGTAATTCAGATTTGGTCAACCATGTTCTAAACCACCAAGCCAAAAATCATGTTTGATGTGACTTTTTAAATCCTTGGTAAACATGTTTTTTTCATCCTCATTGGCCATGGATCACCACTGACATGGATTATGTCAGTGTCTAGTTGTTGATATTTTTCTCACAAGCACAGCACTATGGAATTTTTTCATAATTGAATTGTACTTTATTTTCTATCATTTAATATTTAGATGCATTATTTAATTTGAATCTTTCCTTTTGCTATGTTCGTGTTATGCACCATAGCAAATACCCAGTGATAAACCAGCTTACAAGGGTTAGGGTTAGGGTTACCAGCTTACAATTTGGATACTGATGTTGCAATTGTAGGACTTTCGTTCATGCTAATAAAGGCGCATTTTGCAGTAATATATAGTGTTGGAGAGAAAATTCCTCTGAAGGGAACTTTGGGATTTTCGCCTTTGTAGACTATTTACATGCACAAAAACGTATAAAACACACCACAGGAAAGGGTAAACCCCATAAAACGTAATAGGGATTCTTTTAATTTCCAGTAGTCCACATCTTCACAACGTATAACCTTAATCATTATAGCATAGGTAGATTAATGTATTTAAACTACATAGCCCAGGGGTGTCAAACTCAAATTCATCACGGGCCACATCAGCATTATGGTTGCACTCAAAGGGCCGGTTGTAATTTTAAGACTATATAATACATATATAAATATTGAATATATATAAAATAATGTATTATATTAACGGGCCTTGAGTTTGACACCCCTGACATAGCCCATTCTCAATTATCATCATAAAGGCTTTTAAGATTGTAAGTACAATATTAGAGCATACAGGTTTTTTCAGCTTGCCCTATTAGGTTTTTTTTTCCTCCCTATAAATACTCTAATGATGGCTTGCGTACACTATGTTCAGTTGGAACATGGAACTTGCAAAGTTAGACTAAAGTTGCAGCTTTTAAAAGCTTTTTGCAATTTTCCCACGGCACAATAACACTGTGATGTAACACAGGCTTTAGTGGGTCCAATTATGGTGCTTGTTTTGTTGTTCACACAGTTTCCGTGAGTTTAAAAGTTTTAGTCTGGTCATTAAAGTGCCGATACTAATGAGGTAGAACAGTGTGGCTGTTAAGACAGGACGAGAAGGCTGTTTAATAGCTTCCATTACAGACTTGGTTAGCTTACTCCATTATCTAAGTGAACTCCATCTCATCCTACACCATTTATTTAAAAACCAGGACAGGATCACAATGCAAAACAAGTCCAGGAACATCGATCTTACCCTGCTGGATTCGCGACTCTTTGACAACCACAACAGAGGCAATTCTTCTTCTAGCTATCACATTACAGGACTATGATGTTCCACTGATCAGCAGCATTTCCATTTGTCAAAAGTGTTTGCAGTGGCTCTTCACGGTGGTGTTGATTACTGTAGTGCTGCATTGTTGTCTGTGAACATTGGCATACTGCATGAACCTGTAAACTGCAATTAATTAGGAGCTGGGGGTAATAATAAACACAGTTGAAGGATGGTTATAAACCTAATTGTGTGTGTGTGTGTGTGTGTAGGAGTGTGTGATGTGATGGTCAGGCATATTGGAATGGTAAAACAATTTTTTTTTCACAAATATATCTAAATGTGTACTGTATGGGTGAAGAGACAAAACGGAAAACAATGCAGCACAACAGCAGCGGTAACACAATGTAGGATAGGGGGTTATGTCTGTTAACATTGTTGGCTGTTTGTTTAGGCTAGAATTTGACTTTTGTTGAGAATAAAACATTTAACCCTAGGAATATATATTACAAATCTTAGTTTTTATCATTTTTATTGAAAATCTCCCTCATGCCCCAAGATGCCGGCAAAATATATTTTATATTTTCATAAATGTTAGGTGGGACTCTTGATTTGTGTTTCATCATCAAAATGAAGTTCAATTTTCTGGCAGAGCTAAAAGTAATCAAAAATAATTAAAGTTTGATATAATTCAATTGTATTTTAGCGATAGCGTGTTAGTCCAACATTATATGGGCTGTCCAATCTGCAGCATGTTACGCCCAAAATGTATGAAAACTGTCTAATAAATACATAATATTGACATGTAATTTGCAAAATAATCAACCGAATGTACCCTCTCCTCCATTATTGATATATAAATTGCCTATCAAAATGTAATTGGTTTGTTTTAGAGGCTTTTTAGGTCCATTATGGGCCACAAGATGCAAAATATATCACAGGAAAACATTTTCTCATTGTATTTTATTAATTCTTATTTGCCTTTTCTCTTCTTCTCTACTTTTATGACTCTTTCTTCTGCAGCCTTTGTGCTAAGCTGTGCGTTCCCCAAAGAGCCTGCCGGAGGAGAAGTTTCTGTGACGCACCTCCACGCTGGAGGAGAAGCCTACTTCAGCTGCTTCACCGGCTACAAGCTGCAAGGCCCCAAAATGCTCACCTGCCGCAATGCAACCACGCCTTACTGGAGTGGAAAGGAGCCCCGATGTGTGGGTAAGACAAACTGGTTAGACACACATTTGGGACAGTGTGGTATACATATACAGAGCTACATTTCTAGAACTGTCGGTCCTTTTTTTCTGAACGCTGACTGCTCAGAGATTCTTTGAGCACTATCCGTGAACCATTTACGCCTGCCAAATTGAATGAATGTATTTTTGCTTTGCACTCAATTTGCAATGAAATGACACACTTCTAGGAAAACTAGAAGCATTGGTCTCCACATTGCGGCACTATTTTTCCATACGCATTTCCACAAACCCAAACCATTACCTGTAGGATGTGGATGAAGTCTCTAATGGCTGTGCCAACAAAGATTGCACAATCATTTACTTTAGGAGATTAAGAACATTTTGAGAAGAATAATAACACTCCTTATTTGTTTTGAGAGTGAGTTATACTCAGAACACACAGCTTTGCATGTATAACAAATCTATTTCAAATTGTTATGCCCTGCACACAATAAAGCAAGTGCTTTAGTGCACGTATGTGTGGTTAAAGAGCCTGTGACAGCATCCCAACAACTGTTGTGCAATGAAATATTGGACTACTAGTCATCTCGAACCGTTAGTTTAAAAAAGAAGGTGCGATATCGTTCCGATAAATATCAATAATTTCGAACATCGCGGGGAAATTCCTTCGACTCATTTTGAAGTTTTGGGGAAAGCCGGAAGTGACGTCAATGCGGGAACGCTTCACTGTGCGGCGAGAGAGCCAAACACGGACAAAGTGTGTTGTCATGCGTAGAAATGGTGAATTACTGAGTGTAGGCACATTAATAACGTTTTAATGAAGTTGACTACAGTATATTCATATTTGTCAGTGCTTTCATGTCAATTCAGCGAACATAAACATAAATGATCGTGGTGAAGATGATGATTAAATTAGGATTAAAAATCGGTAGTGAGAGCTGCTAAATGTCCTCCCGTCGGATGTGATATAAAAACAAATCGATTATTTTTGTAGTTGTAAACTCAAGTGGATGAAACTACATGTATTAGTGCTTTCATGTCAATTCGGCAAACATATGATACATTAAATGATCGTGAGGATGATGATTTAAAAATCGTTTGTTTGAGCCGGTCTGCTTTTCCTGATGAGAAAACAAACCGATGCTTTTTGTAGTTGTAGTCAGTGGTGTAGTGGGCGTTGGACGTGGGGGTACGCCGTACCCCACTTATTTGAAGCATGATTTCTTTTTTTAATAGTCTAATAAATCTAAAATCATTGCCAGTGTTATCAGTTGCAAAGTGGGTGTGTTTGTTGTAATAATTACGAAACATAATAGGGCATGATTTTCACCAGTAATTATAATGGAAAACGTAGCTCAAAGTCATTTATGCAACTTGGAATTTGAAGCGTGTGTGTGTGAGGGGCAGAACCGTGTGTGTAGGGTGACCAGGTGTCCCCGCGCTTGCGGGACATTGAGACTATGTCCAGCATTTGAGTGATAGTCGCGCAGAAAGGCCGGATCGGTTCGCTGACAGCCGGCACCGCCCTTTATTATTATATTGTCTAAACGGCATCATTTAAGTTGCGCTGATGCTGGGATCCTGAATGGTGCAGCTGGAGCGCTGTGCCCGCAATGACGTCACACATCATTTGGCGGGACTTGAAGAATCCCCGAGAAGATCCAGAAAATTGTCAACATTGAAGGGCAGATTAATGGTTATCAAAGTACAAATATCCAAAATCAGTTCAGTAACGGTTTTCAAGGGGACAATATTTACTCAAATTGATGGGTTTGGATGATGGGGGAAACTCATGTCACAGGCTCTTTAAATGAATAGTTGATGGTATGTGGGAGTTGAGGCAAACACCCATATAAAAAAAAGTATTTTGTAATATTTCTTTGTTTTGCAAGAGATGTATAATGTTTTGCTGGTAAAGTTGTGTGGGTAGCGTATTGAGTTTAGCATAATTAACTTATGGTTTCAAAGATAGCAACGAAGCTATACAGAAGTACATGGAATTGCATTTGTCCAAATGCTTTAAAATAAACTTCTTGACAATAAATGACCAAATTTAAACATTTGAGCTTTATTGTAAGCTTTCCTCCAGAATCCAGGTGATTTTGATTAACAAAGCTTTTCACTTGATTGTCTCCTACTGCGTTGATTAGTTACACTGAGAGGGCAAATTAGTGTGTTTGCATGTGATTAGCAGCCCACAGAGCTAGTCTTTGGAAATGGATGCAAAACAAGGCCATTGGACCTGGCTGCTGTAATTAGAACTGGGCTGCATGACTATCCTTCTCCTGCTGGTAAAGACTCATCTGCCAGTTCCAGCCTTTCTCCTTCTGCCTGCCTGCAGCTGCTCCGGACTGATAGTGTTTCTGCTGCTGTTCTGCTGTTCTCTTTACAAGTACATCACACACAGGCACACACTCTGAGACCCAGGTGAGCCGCCTAGTGTAGTCCAGCCACAGTCCGCTGGATATTGATGCAATCAAAGCTCAGACTAGTACTTTTCTCCAAACCCCCCTCCCCCGCCATCGATGGTGTCAATACTTTTCTCATCTTGTCCCTCCAACTCTTTGTCTTCTCCCTCTTTCTTCTCATACAGCATCCTGTGGGGGGATGATTAAAAACGCCACCTATGGTCGTATCGTCTCTCCCGGTTTCCCTGGCAACTACAGCAACAACCTGACGTGCCACTGGGTCCTTGAGGCCCCTGAAGGCCAGCGGCTCCACATCCACTTTGAGAAGGTGGCTCTGGCAGAGGATGATGACAGGTGGTGTACACACATTGAATCAATCACAGTGTGTACAGTTTGAATGTTTGTGTCCTCAGCTTATAGATGGCACTGAGCTTTAAACTCAATATCTGTATGGCTGCGGTTAGACCAATGGCTATAAATAACCAAAATCTTTAGGGAACAACAGATGAATTTGAAAGGGCTTTCTATCATTATAATCCTTTAACAGTGTTCTATCAAGCGGATGAATTGAAGGGACTGCACAGGGGTGGTGAGGGGAAGGAAACAGCAATCGCATTACATTTGTCTCCAGTAACTACTGATCCACATGGCTATCGTCACACATGGCCATTCACTTCATTACCGAGCGGGGGAGAAAGTTATCACAAAGTTATTACAGCCACAACTGGAAGAGTGAGCAGCTGTCGGAGAGCTTGTAACTTCTCTTTTTTTGTGATTCTTTTACCTTTCAAGGCTCAGTTAAATCCATTTTCAACTGTTTTCCTTCTCTGTGTGTGTGTGTTTCTCAGGCTGCTGATTAAGAATGGCAACAACATAGACTCCCCCCCAGTGTATGACTCCTACAAGGTTGAGTATTTGCCCAATGAGGGTGTGCTCAGTACCGGACGTTACCTGTTTATAGAGTTCACCACAGACGGGACATTGACCTCCACTGGAGCAGCCGTCAGATATGAAGGCAGGTTTATCCTGCTGTTTGCAAATAGTAACCCATTTTTTGTTTATGTTTTTTTTTTTAATATCTTCATTGATTTTCCCAGTTTTCTTCCACAAAAGCAGTGATACAAAGCATGTACATTCGGTTAAAATCCACAAAGTAATGAAATATATAACAAATCCTGACAAATCAAAATCTTGTTTGTTATGTTTGATACCAGGTATTTGATTTTTTTGTCCACAGCTTTTGCCAAAGGCATGTGCTATGAGCCCTTTGTGAAGTACGGGAACTTCAGCGGCAGCGACTCCGCCTACGGTCTGGGTGCAGTGGTGGAGTTCTCGTGCGACCCCGGCTACACGCTGGAGCAAGGCTCGGTAGTGATCGAGTGTGTGGACGCACAAAACCCACAGTGGAATGAGACGGAGCCGGCATGTCGAGGTGGGTCACCCGATTTCATCTGCTTGAGTAATTGTGCGATAAAAGAAATATTTTCAAAAATGTGCTTCCAATGGAGCGGAATTCAGAGGCAAATATGACTGACCTGTAGACCCCCAGCTTTCATTGTCTGCTTGATCAATGCAGCAGCTAGGGAATACTTTTTCTTGAAATATTAAAGACCACTGGAAGTTAACTGTATCTGTATAAGCTGCTTTTCTCTGATCCATGAAAAATGTCCCCTTAAAATTGCTACAATGATTAACGTTGATATATGCGCTTCCAGGGCGGACTCTAGAAGTGCTTAAGATTAAAAAGGAATACAATAGATGGCCTAGAATTAAAAATACCACACTGCATATACTGTACGCACCAGACTTAATAGCTACCCCTGAGCACTTTCCCTTCTCCTGTTTCTCTCTCACACACACACACACACACACACACACACACACACACACACACACACACACACACACGCGTGCGCACACACCCCCACAAACACACACACACACACACACACACACACACACACACACACACACACACACACACACACACACACACACACACACACACACACACACACACACACACACACACACACACACACACACACACACACACACACACACACACACACACACACACACACACACACACACACACACACACTGACCTCACTCTTGGCCTTTGTTGCCTTCTGCAACACAGGGAAATTGAAAAGCTCTCCTGGAAAGCTAGATATGAGTACATTTAATGTCTGCTCCTGTGGGTCATGGTCATCAAGCACTTTGTTGCTAGTATGCAGTTTTACAAGGTTCACGTCAAGGAGTCTGCACCCTCGATTTCAGATGCCTTTTATTAAGCGTGTAAAGCATGGTTCCATTCTTTAAAGTCACATTAATTTAACATACTTTAAACCTGCAATATTCTAGCCATGCCTATAGTGCATTGTATACATACTTGGAGTGCATTATAATCTACTTAGCTGTATATTTATAGTTATAAGCACTTATAAACAGATATTTAACATAACATGAATTATATTCACTGTAATAATGCAATACAATGTGATTAGGTCACTATAAATGGTCACAGTTTGTTAAAGAAAGTGAATAAAATATCCAACACATACAAGCTCATGAAATGAAAATTAAAAGCAACACCACTTACTCTTAAATGGAATGCATAATGAAATGTTTATAATGTATAACAATTATGAATTCATATTACACTGAGATTAAACATTTTTTGTGAATGACCAGCAATTATTAAGTGTTAAGATTTTTGAAATGATACGTCATTATAATTTTTTTTTAAATGGTTGTCATCATAAAGCCTTTTATATTTGTATGTGTTTATTTTGGACAGTTATACAGTGCTATAAACACATTTTAATGTCTTAACAAGTATGTTTAGTGCATGAGCTTCATAGAAAGTGCTAGTTTCTAACCTAACAATTTGATATTTACTTTGCTTTCCAAATCATGTTACATTTTAATCAAAGGTTTTTGTGTGATGAAATCCTTTTTCCAGTTGTGTCTCAGTGTGAACCTGAGGGGTTGTGTGTTGCAGCTGTGTGCAGCGGGGAGATCACGGACTCTGCCGGCGTGGTGCTGTCTCCTAATTGGCCCGAGGCCTACGACAAGGGTCAGGACTGCATCTGGGGCATCCACGTGGAAGAGGACAAGAGGATCATGCTGGACATCCAAGTGTAAGAAACCGCACTCAGGTGTAAAACTACAAATCACACAGGGAGGTCAGAGAGGACACCGGATCGACCAGGAGTTGTTAAACACTCTGGACACAAACTCACTTTTTTTCTCATCTTTAATTTCACTCGCAGAGGCACATATTACAACACGTAATGGGGAAGTGTTTCTGTGTCTGCAGTCACTAATTAGATTTCATTTTTTTCCTCCGCTACATTAAGAATTCTGTGTAGCTTCCAGCCCGCTCTCTGACCAGATTAGCCAGTAAGCCTGCCTGCTCCCACTTCCCTGGTGTGTGTCTCAGAGTTGGCTTTGAAATAAATATGCTCTGGCAGTAAACTACTCTGAGCCACTTATACAGCCCTCCCAACTGCAATTCAACACACATTCAACACGCATGCGCACAGATGTCAAAATATAGGCACAGGAAAACCTGTTTCTCCTCCATCCATCACTCTTACTTTACATGAATGTCCCTTGATATACTTTCTCATCCGAGTAATTGCTCTTAAGTAAACACATTATATTGTAAATGTCTCTTTAAAAGCAAAACTATTTGTGCATGTTAATCTGTGCCTTTATCTTATGTGGATTCATCCGTTTGCGATTCTCCATAATATTTACTCCATCATGCCTACCGTATAGCACAGTTTAATTGATTCGTGTTGTTGCCTGAAGCACTTGCACACAAGAGCAGATAGGTTCAAATTAAACCAGCGGGAATACTGCCTGAGGTCAGAGGAAAATAGAGTCACTGATAAATCTCAGAGGCTATTGTTAGCTAGTGGCCATGGTGGTCATCAATGCAAGCACACAATGGTTATGTGTACAATTTCTTAATTCCTCTATTTATTTATGCTTTCATTATGATTTGATGGATTTGCAAGGTTTAGTCATGCCATCAGGTTTCGATGCTGAGCATATCGATTTTAATCCACAGTGGTAGAGCATGTAGAAGAAGAAAACCTAATATATATTATTTTTATTTTTTAGAATTTCCTAGTTTCTCTTCAGGAAAGGAAAACACTTAATATAAGTTTCCCAATTAAGTGAACACAAAAGGAAAATCTATTTGTGGACAGGAGCCAAAACGATTTTCTTTTAAACATGAATAAATACATTTAAATGAATTGAAATGAAATAATTGGACCAGATGGACATTCTAATTTGTGCTGGGCTCACAAGTTGTTAAGGGCAAAGTACTGTATCAGCTTGTTGTAGTATTATACAAACCATTGCCTACTAAAAGACAAGAAAAAGATAATAATTCCTGTTCCGGTGGTGAACGGCACAAAATCCGGACAGAGATCAGAGTAAAGTGCGAACAGTTCAAAACAATTATTGTGCATGACCAGTATCAGCGGGAGATAACTCCTGTACTATATATGCGTGGTAGCATTTTCCTTAAAAAAAGAATTCAAATAGTAGAATTTGGACAACATACACTGAACAAAAATATAAACGCAACACTTTTGTTTTTGCTCCCATTTTTCAAAGATCTAAAACATTTTCTACACACACATGTATATAAGGCACGGAACATTATATTGCATACTTTTGATTTTTCTAGATATGGCTAAATTAAGTCTTATAAAAAACCCTCAATAGACTCCAAATAATGTTTGGTGTAAGGGAGGAGGATACCAAGGATGCCAATAATACACAACAACAAAATACCACACAGGGGTTTGTGTGTGACCCTGCTTGCCTCCCTGTTCTTTACTCTGAGATCAAGACTCAATGATTAGAATTGGTTGAAAGTCAACCAACCATGTGCACCTACAGGGTAAAAAGGATCAGAGGATTTTTTTCCCCCCCCTCATACAGAAGTAAACAAGTTTGATTTGAGGTAAACTGATTTTCACTCAGGGATCTCTTTTTAAATTGCACAAGCCTAATATTTGTTTTAATCTTGAGCCGCATGAGGCCGCATGAGGCCGCTGGCTGCAAATTAATGACGCTGTGGCCGGCTCTGGTTTATCTCAAGGTTGGTCATGCATGGCCTTCGTGGCAGTATAAACACACAGCTTGCGTGGTCCCTGCAGACCCTCCCATTACCCTCATGTCTGGTCTGCTCATCTTGAGAACTGCATTCATAAAGGCTAGTTCAACACATAGTTTGTGTGTTTGTGTGCACACATGTGACAAAAGGCTCTTGTGGATGAGAGCTGTCTCATTATAAGTGTGGGCACACACTTTTACACATTAATGAGAATGTTTTCTGTATTATCATTCATCACTGTGCTTGTGCTGGCAATTACAGTGGATCACTGTGCATAATGAGAACTGATTAATTAATTTAGGCCAAACAGGAGGGCTGGCTCTGTGCTAATTAGCACGGAGCGGGAGACGAGAGGTTACAGCTGATATCCCCCACCTGTGGAATACAACAAGGTTAACCATTCACATGAGGATTTCTAGCACTCAGAGTATTGTATCTAAAAATGTGTAACATATTTCAGCACAGTGGGGAAAAGTCTGTTTTACCGTGGTAATGTTGTTGTCAGTTTACTGAGCATGAGACGTTTTAAATTGGACATAGCGGGTTTATGGTGCCCTCTTGTTGAGACTCTAAGCGTTGCACCCCATTGCAATCCCTACTAGTGCTGGATAAGGTGCCTTGGAAATAAATGGTCTTTTTCATTTTTAAGAAAGAACCTTTTTTTTTTACAGAGCAGAACAAATTAAATGTCAAATCCATATGAATGGATTTAGAAAGTTGTCTTTTGAAAGTGTGACATTAAAAGCAATTTACTTTCTGTTAGAGTTACTAGATATTTGTCGGGTTCTTCAGACTTGACTTGACAGGTCAGTGAAGGTGACAAAACGCCTAGAGGCTTGTAAAAAAAACAGCTGTCATCCCCTCATCTGCAGAATCGAGCCGGTGCCATTGGTATGCAGAGGAGCTTTTTGGGAATTCTTTAAAGGTCCTCTTTCAAAACCCTTGGAACTTCCCGTCGATGAAGGAGACATTTAATAGTATAGGACAACTCTAAAGTATTGCCTTGAAATTGTTTTGAAATGGACCCAATGAATCCTTTCCAGCTGCATTGACCATGTTAAAAGCAAGTCGTACTCTCTCACACCATGTTGTCATCACTTTAGTTTCAAGTAGTTCAAGGGCTCAGTAAACAAGACTCAAATTAATTCAGCGGGGGGTATAACAAATTTGAGGGTTAGGGTTAAGGTTGTGCCAAAAGCCAATACTGATTTAAAGTGCCTGATGGGTTACCGCTTTTATTTTTAACCTTTATCAGAAGAGTGACTGTCACCACAGCTACACTTCCATTTATTTATCTTCAAGAACAAACCAATAAATTATACAAATGTATTAAAGTGGTCAAACTTTGTATTACCTTGACAGCAGAGTGATAAACATTAATGCTACTGCAAAATGGAAAATAAACTAAGGAACATATGGAAAGGGGTGAAAATATTTATTTGGTAGATTATCAGTTCGCAACAGAGGACAGGAAGTGACTGCTTTCCTGTCTGGAGGAGGAAAGCATTAGGAAGCCAGGTGGGATGACATTTGGGTTTCAGAGTGCTGTCTCAGTCTGGACTGAAGGCACTTTGGCATTCTTTTGTGTTGTCACCATTTCAAGTGCACTTCAAGCAGTCAGTGGAGCAGATGGATGGGGTCAGTGGGAACATTTAAAACCAAGGTTGACTGCAGCACTGTCGATAAGTCAGAGCAATTGGGGAGGCTTAGGAACCCAGACAGGAGGAAAGGTCACAGATTGTGAAGTGTGCAAGCGATATGCCAATACCGCTGACTATTATCAGATGTCTTTAGAAATGGCTGCTGAGTTGGCCTCGTATCTTGTCCAACATCAGATCAAAGTTCTTGTTGTTGATGTCGGATAGGAATGAACTGCATTATAGTACATTTTTTCCAAACGAATACCTCTGGGTTTGAAACGTGAATCAAATGCAGATGTGTGTTAAACCTGCATTCTCTCTCAAATCCAACACAGGGAAAAATAAGTCCAATTGTATAAAAGTCTAAAAGAAAATCACCCCTACTTCTCACTTGATGTATAAGTAATCAAGTTCATTTTGATGAATATGGTTCTGTAAGAATACAATTGAAGATCAGGCAGAGAATGCTTTAAGACGTGATTGACAGATTGACGGTTCGCTTCAACAGTATCATCCACTTTGGGTGTTCTCTGTGTTTTCCTCTGAGAACTTTAACCCCTTCAAAGAATGTCATCAGTTTTTGAAGTTATTGTAAAATGTACTTTGCTTCGAAATGCTAAAAACACTTTGTGTTTTCGTGAATGGTTGTTGTTAAGTAGGCTCAGTCATTGGTACATGTTTATCTATAAAGCCATGTTGGGTAAACTACCAACTTATATATGCTCTTTGATCTCACAGAGAGTGGCAAGCTATTGCCTGAGATACCAGGATGTGTTTTTATTACATGTGCCAAGTACTAGGACTGTTTTAGGTACTAAAGCTTTTATGTGTGCTGCTCCTCTAGCTTGGAACACTATGCAAATGTTTTTGAAACTGAGCATTTTGGTTCCCTTGCATCATTTTAAAGCTCGGATAGATTAAATGTTATTAGATATCTGTCATTGTGAATAGGTGCTAATGTACTACCCCTGTAATTATGTTGTATTGATGTCCTTTTGTTTTCTGTTGTTTTTATGTGTAACCATGTGCTGCAGGTCTCCTTGAAAAAGAGATCGTTGATCTCAATGGGATTTTCACCTGGTTAAATAAAGGCTACAAACAAACAAGTAGAAATGCTATTGAGCTCTCATGACCACAGAGTAGTCCAACAAGTTAAAACATACAGATTGTGTCATTGATAAGATATACCAATTTGAATCAAAATAGAATAAATTACGTGAGGAATGAAGATCCACTTGAAAAGTTTCTGGAGAACATGTACGGTATGTAGCAACAAAGGAAGTTAAATGCAGAGAGTTCAGTTAATACAACAGTTTAAGACTGCCTGACTTCTAGGGTAGTGTAAATGCAGGGATGCCTTTTAGAGGAGATAAGGGAAAATACATAGATAAAAGCCTTGTTTAAATGAGCAGATGGTCGAGGATAAAGGTTGAATACAATTAAGGTGTAAAATATGATAAGAGTTAAAATGCAAACAATGTGGCCTTCCTTGCTGGACTACCCATGCTTTATTATGACAATTTCTGCATATAAGCATAAAGTGTTTTCATGCCCATTTGGAAATGGAAACTGGCATGTTATACCTTTCATGTATAACACAGTTGGTGATTGTTGGGAGAACCTGGAGGTGTAAATTGTGCCCATAGCCGTCCAACTAACCAGTGGGAGTATTGTCACTCAGCACCTCATTTCACTGCCATTCATTCAGCTGGCATCTCCTATGTGTCTGTCAGGAGCTGGAATTCAGTTTTGGCTTTGACTTTTTGTTTCAGTACCAGCACATTGAACAGGCAGGCAGTGGATCAGCCAGTCTGGTTATGTTTTTGTCTTAAATATTTAAATATCTTGTTTGTCCAATCATATACATTGTTGGTTGGTTTCGACAGTAAACGTTAAAAGGTAGGATTTGTTCCCAGTCTGGGTGATTAAAGATGAAGTGGATGCATTTTACTTGCATGCTGGTTTTTACTCAGCATTAATGTTGAAATATTGTGGGGGAGGTTGTGAATAAGAGATTGAGGAGAGGTAAACAGACTCAGGTCTTTTGTTTCCTTCCATTGTCATAAAACTGTTTCAATCACACAACAAATGACCCTGTCAAAGGCTCCTAGTTTTGTGTTGGTTCCAATGTTCTCTGGGTTAGTCTCATGGGTTCTATAAGTCAATCTGCCAGAAAAGAAAGCAGCCTCAATCTGGAGGCCCTTTATCGCCTGTCAGTGATTCAGCACAAAATTAAGGGAAAAATAAGAAACCCTACCCCTCTCAGTGACATAAACATATAGTGTGTCAGACAGGTGCTCCAGATCAGTGCTCTCACACTACAATCAACATGAACATAGACATAGAGTTCTTAGACTCATTAGGCCAAAAATACATGTCCATGTGTTTTTAGAACCGACACACACAAAACAGAAAAATCAGAGGGTAGTATCACAAAGAATACAGGTATGGAGAGTAAAATTTGATTTCAAAAGAAAGTGTTTTGGTTTCTTTGTGTGTTCAATACCAAGCAATACATTAACTCAGAGGACAAAAGAAACAGGCATTTAGTACTTTAAAAAACATGTTGCTTGTGCTATTTGTTTTTGAGATATTATACAGTGATAAGAACAAATTATTGTATTAAGTTGCAGACGTCTCAATCATACAGTTCATATGCTCGCACATGTTTACATTGATTCTTAAATATTTCACTACATGAGGTTCTGGCATGTTCTCCTTCTGACCTATTGATTACATGTAAATAATCTTTGCAGGCATGTTTCTTACTAAAGGATTTTTACTCCTTTGTTTCTTATTTTAAGTTTTTAGTTTGTTTGAAAGCTTTCTTGACAAAGCCTGATCTCTCTTCAATCTCCATTTCTATGCGCTCCACTCCCTACTTGGCGCACCGGTAACTTTCTTGTGCGAACGAGAAAGTATCTCGTGCGAACGAGAAATTATGTTGTGCGAACGAGAAAGTATATCGTGCGCACAAATTAATAAAGCGTGGCCTTGTTTTATTTAAATTGAGGCCACGAATTACATCTCGTGCGCACAAATTAATAAAACGTGGCCTCGTTTTATTTTATTTTCTCTCTATGAACCCTCCAGGGCTCCGTAGTTTCTTGACTTCATTCAAAATAATTCTTTACAGAGGAGAGCATTTGTGTGAAGAAGCAGGAAATAAAAAGGAACTCACCTTGTGGTATAACCGGCAAGAGAGAAAGCCTTAGAGCTCCATACTGTTTCCGAAAGAATCCTTGATAATCCATGATATGGCGTTTCATCACCGCAGTATCAGCCGGTAGAATCTTCCTTATAAGCTCCGCCCCTCTTTTTTATCAAATTTTTATTTTTAAAGCTTTATACATAAAATCAGCACTTTTGAAACAGGAAGTGAAATAGAGCGATATGAGGCATAGCTAGAATGGGTGATCTGTTTGGTTTTTTGATTAAAACACTTCATAGACATGTTTTTTTTATATATATATCTGAGACCTATGCTATTGCCTAAAAATAGCATGATAGGTCCTTTAAAGTTTATCAATGACAAAGAGTTATGGAGACAGCATTTGTAAATAAGCTTCTGATCAGTACTAGCTGAGAGAAGAGCGGGAAATGTGATTTTCAGGCATAATCACTTTGAATTTGTGTTAATCCAGATTGTGCAAATTGTAAAGAGATAAACTTGGGGGTTAGTTACCATTTTTAAAGAATACTGCTTTACTGAAAATAGTTTGATTGGTGACTTATTCGCATACAGCAAATAGAAATTGAGAGTTTGTGCGGGTGGGAGGTGATTCATAAATTCAAAATCAGTGCTAGCATTGTGCCATTATTAAAATATAATATTATTGCAGATTTACACTTTGGCACATATTCATGAGACCTATGTGGGGCGAAGAGCAATACATCATTCATTATTTAGTGTTTACTTCACATCAGATTCATCCAATATAAACTGAATTAATATTTCCCAAGTCCTGCTGACAACGCTGTGTCAGCTTTTGCTTTCAACACTGAGATGGTAACCAGTCACCTAACTGTTAAAGCTCTACCCAAAAGTCTTGTTTTTTTTCAATAGCTTCAATGTTATATGACTAAGTGGCTCCAAATTAATACAGCATTTTAGTACTACGCTGGACATGTAAGACACATTTAATTTAATTGGATTTAGGTGTTTTTTTCCACGTTATATGAATATCTTTAGAAGTCTTTTTTTTCAATAGCTTCATTCATATTATTGGCACAAATCAGCAGAGATCACATCGAATTGGAATTTATTAGTTCTTATTTGGGTCACTTATAATGCAAAAATATAATCCTTAATCAGATACACATCAATACAGTCTAAACATCACTATAACAAACTATCACTGTACAATGTGAATTAAGGACTTAGGAATGCATTGTGAACATGAAATGTTTATTAACCCGTTTTTGATGTCTGTTGCAGTCTCCATATTGGTAAGAATGACCTGCTGACCTTCTATGATGGAGACGACCTGACAGCCAACATCCTGGGACAATACAGTGGTACAAAGCCACACTTCAAGCTCTATACCTCCATGGCGGATGTCACCATTCAATTTCAGTCCGACCCTGCCACCAACATCTATGGCTACAACAACGGCTTTGTGGTCCACTTCTTTGGTAAGAACAGTTATTTTCTATATTTGATCAAATTGGGATTTATTTTGAGAAAAATAACTAGATTCTTTGTTCCAGTTTAATGAAGTACAAAGCAGTTAAACTTACAATTAAATGATGATAGACATTAACTGTACTATTCCCATTAGAAGAGACACTAGAAACCCACAAAAATGGTACTAATAAGCGTGAAATGTGAAATTCTCCTTACCCAGCAGGTAACGAATTATAACATTTTCTTGATTTGTTCCTTTTTCTTTCCTGTCTTTCTTTTGATTTGCCGATGTCTTCTGGCTTATCCAAGGTGCACAGGATGAGACAACAACAAACACAGAATAAAAATACGAGGGCACACTTCAACATCAGCTGGTTTTGCTATGTCTTGTTTTCTAAGCGCAGCATGCGGCAGTTAGGGAGGCGCAGATTGACTGCTGCCAAACCACATGCTGTGTTCCTCCAAGCACACATCACAAGCCCCTATTTACATTGTCCTCCCCATCTGCTGCTTTATAGTGCACACAGACAGTCTCGCATTTATATTCCCTTCCCCTGCAGAGGACATTTTTGTATATCAATGCTAGGATTTCCACGAAGGAACCTCAATAGTTGTCCTTTTACTAAAGAAATAAGAACACATAAAGAATTGTTCCCAGTACCATTGTTTTTTTTCTCATTGTGTCTGCATAGAGATGTCTGTAATCAGCTATTTCCCACTCTTTCTTGCATCTTTTCTACCAACACATCTACCAGAGATGGCAAAAGTAACCACATCCTTTACTCAAGTAGAAGTACAGATACTCGTGCTTAAAAATACTCTGGTAAAAGTAGAAGTACTGACTAAACTTATTTTCTCAAGTAAAAGTAAAGAAGTATGGGCTTCAAAATGTATTTAAGTAAAAAGTACCCATAACTAGCAGCTGTTTTAAAGAGTAACTGACCTCCATTTATATGAATAGAACAATAATGTCATTGTTAGCTAATGAATGTTTCCATGCTGAACAACGGCAACATGACAAAGTTTTCATTGGTCCTTCTTCTTTAGAGAAGACCAGGAAATGATGGATATACGGATCGTATTCAAATCAATAGACACGCAATGACTCTAAATAATAATGATCATGCCACCAAACACAGATTAAAACTAAAGTAACAAACCTGTTTAGAAAAATTTAAGAAGTAGAAAATACAGGTATTTGTGTTAAAAAGTCGTCAGAAAAATAAGTAGTGGAGTAAAGTAAGTAAGTTTATTTATAAAGCGCTTTTCACAGACAAAATCACAAAGTGCTTGACAAAACAATAAAACATCATCATACTGTAGGAATTGTACAATGATAATGACCACACAAGCCACGTGTTAAGAAGTCATAAAATCACCAAAACACAATCAAAACACAATAAAACACAATGAAAACAAAATGAAAACATAGTATAAAATAGAATAAACCCAAGCACACCGGTTACAAAAATGCCTGCCCAAACAGGAATGTCTTTAAAGGAGTCAACAGAGTCAGCCGACCGTAAAGTACTGGTACCAGAAAAATGTACTTAAGCACAGTAACAACGTTTTTGTACTCCACTACTTCCCACCTATGACATCTACTACAACATCCACAGAGGTGGCGAGGAACGACACCTGCTCCGAGCTGCCGGAGATCACCAACGGCTGGAAGAGCACGTCCCACCCTGACCTCATCCACGGCACCGTCATCACCTACCAGTGCTACCCTGGGTTTGAGCTGGTAGGCTCGGAGATCCTCATGTGCCAGTGGGACCTCACGTGGAGCGGAGATGTGCCCAAATGTCAGGAAGGTAAACTGTTCTCCATTTGCTCACATTTGCTCACATTGGGAGAGTAGTGAGGGTAAAACAACACCAGAATCCTTTGGTTTGGTTATCATAAGCCTGATGAATTCAGGTAAAAATATCCTGATAATCTGGTCTGCACACATTGTCCGGAGTATCACTTTCATACCAGTAGCCATGACAGATTTGAACTATTTACTTTAGTCTCTTTGGTTTAGGCCAATGTTGGCACCTGGCAACCATTTTTAAACCCCTATAATCTTTCCTATAGTCTTTTTGCTATAAGCAGATATTCTTGGAGCTTAATAGGAACATGTGTACTGAGGTAACAAATCAAGTAAAAAGTAGCATTATTTTCTCATAGACCTCTATACAATCAGACTTGTTATCCAACCAGCGATGCACCCCCTGCTGGTCATTAGAAATAATTCAGGTTTTTCACACCCAAGGTTGCTGCTTGCCCACTCCCCATTTCATATTGTATCCAATGCTATAGATGCTATATTAGCTGCTACTAACCAGAGGTGGGAGAAGTACTTAGATATTGTACATGAGTAAAAATAGAAGTACCAGAGTGTAGGAATACTTTGTTACAAGTCAAAGTCCTGCATTCAAAATGTTACTCAAGTAAAAGTACAAAAGTATTAGCATCAACATTTACTTAAAGTACCAACAGTAAAAGTACTTTTTCTGCAGATGGTCCATTTCAGATTAATATATATGATATGTTTTATAATTATTGATCATTAACAAAGCTGGTAAGGTTACAGCTAGTTTTAATGACTTTGTATACTGCAGGGCAGCTTGTGAATTTACTCCAGGTGTAACTAAAGTCTGATTTAAGTGTTGATTACATTTCACATCATTAATCCAAATAAAGTAACTAAAGGTATTAAATACTTGTAGTGGAGTAAAAGTACAAAGAAGCATAACATGGAAATACTCAAGTAAAGTACAAGTACCTCAAAATTGTACTTAAGTACAGACAGTATTTGAGTAAATACTTAGTTACTTTACACCACTGCTACAAACATTACTTATAAATCTCCAAGCAAACTGTCTGTGGTTTAGTATACTTGTGGGTAATGTGGGTTTTGACAGGGAAACATTTGTTGAATAGAAATAAAAATAACAATCCCTACATTTTGTACATTTTTTTAACTGTCAGTCTTGAGAATAACAATGTTATTAGAGTGCAAAAGAAACAGTTTACTCTTAAAAAATCATAAACAGTTCTTTATTATCTTGCGGGCATAAAGTACAAATGTTTTCTATTTTACTACAACTGCCAACTAATAATCTATTTCTTTTGTGTTTGTGCTGCACCAGTTTTGACGTGTCAGGACCCAGGGAATGTGGAGCACAGTCATAAGGTGATCGCAGGGAACCGTTTCGTCGTTGGATCAACAGTGCAGTTCGTCTGTAATAAAGGCTACATCCTGTCCGGCAGCAGCCTGCTCACCTGCTACAACCGAGACTCAGCCACACCCAAGTGGAACGAGAGGCTGCCCAAGTGCACCCGTAAGCCATGAGTCAGAAAACACACATGGACACAAGATAACTCAACACGCAGATTCTGTCAGGCTTTGAATACATAGGGATGTAACGATACCAAAAACTCACGGTACGATAATATCGCGATAAAAAGTCCACGGTACGATATTTATCGCGATACTGAAAAATAAAGAAAAAAAATGTGAATTTGATATGCTTTGGCCATGGGTAAACATGTACTGGAGCCCTGTAAATACGATGTCCTTTTGTGTTATCTGTTGTTTTATGTTCATGTTGTAACCTACTTGCTGCCATGTTGGACAGGTCCCACTTGAAAAAGAGATCGATGATCTCAATGGGACCATCTGGTTGAATAAAGGTTTTTTAAAAAAAAAATGTTGTCAGTCTCACGACGGTATTGAGACATTTATTTACAGCGATATCGCGATATTCGATATATCGTTACATCCCTATGAATACATGATTTAAACAATTTACTATTGAAAAGGCAGTTAGTACATACATGTAAGTATTGCAAGTGCAATTTTGAAGTACTTTAGTTGAGTATTTCCATTTAATGTTACTTTAAACTACATAACGGTGGGTTACATGTTGTAACCCTAGTTATATAAGCACAGGCGGTACTGCCCTTAACCATGCTATGCGAGCATTCACATACTGAGTTGCATAAACGTAGTCGGCCAATCAGGGCGAGCCTACCTGAATGCGCGCGCAGGCACACAGTATATAAGGCGGCCACGCCTCCTGATTCTGTTATCCTTCACCCTCTTCAGCGAGCGGCATAGGAAAGACGGGGCCCCTAGGTAGAGGGCTCCGCCTTTGCTTATATAACCAGGGTTACAATATGTAACCCACCATTATATTTCACACAGGCTAAGCCCTTTACTGGACTCCATGAGCACAGTGGGGGAGCCCTGATGGATAAACACCCTGCGTTCAACAACATCGACCCATCACACTGCCCCTGACACGCTTACCTCGTGGAGTGTGCATGGAAAATAGTGAGGAAGGCGAGGAGCGTCCTCCAATCCTGTATGGGGTGTATAGCATACTACGTTTCCCGGGTCCCTAAGGCGCATGGGAAAACATAAGCGTGCTATTTCCCGGGGGAGGGGTCAGATGCCTACTGACCCACAGCACCCCCCCCCCTCTCACCAGTCGTGTGCTGCCCCAGCAAGCACGGAGGATGAGAAGGAGTCAGACATGTCCAAGAGATAAGACCTTATAAAGGGGCCTAGCGTAGACCAAGAGGCCGCCATGCATATGTCCTCCACACTCACGCCGTTGAACAAGGCTGATGACACGGCCATACCCCGTGAAGGCCCTCCCCGCCTGTCCATAGGCATGTGAGATGCACTCGCAGAGCCATCCTCTCAGACGCTTCTTGGACAGAGCTTTACCGGCCACACCCCCCCCAAAGCACACAAACAGCTGTTCGGTGCGCCTAATGGAAGCCGTGCACTCTACATAATATGCCAGCGCATGCACCAGGCAGAGGAGGTGTAATTTAGCCTCCCTTGCTCCAATATGGGGTGGAAGACTAAAGCCGTTCAACTGTATAACCCTCGACCTGAATGAACTCCCTAGGTTTTTGGGAACAAAGGAGGGGTTCGGTCTGAGTGTCGCCCCGCTACAGTCACCCCGGATCAAAAGGCAACTCGGGTGCACCGACAGAGCGGTCAGCTCGGACACTCTTTTGGCTGAAGTCAAGGCATGCAGCATAGCTGCTTTCAATGACAGAGCCTTCAGGGAGGAGATCTCCAGATGCTCAAATGGTTCTGTGACCAGAGCCTCGAGCACCAACGGCAGGTCCCACTGCGAGGATGAGGCGTGCACTACTGGGCGCTGCCTCCTGACCCCCTGCAAAAACCGCGCCATAAGCGGCTGACTGAAGGCTGACCTGCCGCCAAATCCCTCATGGCAGGACGAAATGGCTGCTTATATACTTTAATTGTGGAATAAGCAAGCCCCCTGTCCACCAGTAACTGTAAGGAGGACAGAATAGAGCCCAGCTTACAAGACATAGGCTCTAGAATCCTTTCTTCACACCATCGCTGGAATCCCAACCACTTTGGCCTGTAACAGGCTGTGGTGGATTCCGCTCTTGCTACTTGGATAGTCTGAATAACCTCGTCAGACAATCCCCCCTGTCTCAGCCTGTCCCTCTCAGGAGCCAAGCCTGGAGAGGTTGGCCCAGAGTGGGTAACGCCCCTATTGCACCAACTTCCTGAGACATCGCCCCCGAGACCTGAGGAATCGCCCAGGGCTGGCCCACCATCATCTGTGTCACCTGTGCATACCATGACGCCAAACGCCGAACCTGGGCCACATAGGATGACGCTGAAAGATGTTCCCGTCTCACCCTCTCCAGGAAGGGGAGAATGAGACGCAGCGGTGGAAAAGCGTAGAGCAGCTTTCTTGGCCATGACTTGTGTGCAAACGCGTCCACCCCCAAGCACCGCTTGCCGAGCCATGGAAAACCACAGGGCAGGTCCACCTCCGCTCTCCCGAACTGGGCGTGAACACCGTGATGTAGGAGGTCACTCGCCCCAGTGGAGTTCCCCTCCGCAGATGTTTTGGGGACCCCAAGTACCGGAGGTTGCCCTCCACTGAGGGGGGGATGTTTTTTTGGAAAGTGCCATGCGGAGTGATCCCCCAGGGACATCACACGGCAAGCAGCGGCGGCCACACCTAGACCAAGTTATTAATTTGGCCGATGCTGCGGCCAAATAATCACTCTGATCCGGTGAGGTGGGGGCGAGACGCCCAACACACCCGTGTTTGTTTGCAGCCGCCCTGTCACTCTGGTGCCTGCTGGGAGCAGATGGGCTGCCACGCTCCGCCGCCATGGCCATCACCAGCGGGAAGTCCTGGCGGACAGACCTGGTGGTGGACAGACCTGGCGGTGGACTTCCATGGACGCCGGACCGGAAGTGCCCAACAACGAGAAGTTCTCGTCATCCTCCTCCCCGGCAAACGGAGCCATCCACCCCGCTGGAATGGCAAACGTGAATGGCACCGCCTCGGCCATATTCTGGTCCCCCAAACACTCTAAGCAGAGGTTGTGGGGATCGGCACCCGCTACTAAGCCAGGGCACAAAGGTCCGGCCCGGGTCCCTAGAAGTGGCGATTCCATGAAGGTATGATAACTTCTTTCTTCTTCTTTCAAACGTCTTTACTTTCTCTGCATCAGTTGTTGCTCGCTCGCTGAAGAGACAAAGGATAACAGGATCAGGAGGCGTGACCGCCTTATATACTGTGTGCCTGCGCGCGCATTCAGGTAGGCTCGCCCTGATTGGCCGGCTACGTTTATGCAACTCAGTATATGAATGCTCGCATAGAATGGTTAAGAGTAGTACCCATAGAGTCCAGTAGAGGGCGGAGCCTGTGTGAAATATAACAAAGGGAAATAATTTATTTTTACTATTTACTTTTTTGTTTAGATTAAGATTTTACATTGAAAACATATGATTAACTTTCAATATACTGCATCTCTAAAAAATAAAACAACTGTTTGAGGTACAAAATGATTAGGAAAGAAAGTCCTAAACATGAATTATCATTTTTTTAAGTAAAGAATTTGAACACTTCAAACAACAATTAATTGGATTATACTGGTTTTCTTAATATGAGACCTTTTAAAAGTTCAACAAGGATTCTTAAATCCTTGTGCACTTCTGTAATAATAGGCAGGTTTTGATTACTGATACAATTTTTAAAGACAAAAAAAGAAAAAGCACAAAAGTATTCTGACATGCGTAGAGTTCAAACTAAAGGTCTATCTTGCACGTTTATGTTTCGGTTACTGTTGAAGAAGGTGCATAACAATGTTCTTACAACATGATCTTTCGTCCTCTCAGCTGAGAAGTACGAGCCATGCAGGAACCCCGGCGCCGCCTCCACCAGTGAGCAGAGCTCTGAGAAGGCCTTCTACCAAGCAGGAGAGACGCTGAGCTTCTCCTGCCACTCGGGCTACGAGCTGCAGGGCCACGGCTCCATCTACTGCATCCCCGGACACCCGTCACAGTGGAACAGCACCCCCCCTGCCTGCAGAGGTAAACCCTGCACTCACTTATTGAAGATAACTGCGATTTAAAAAAAAAAAACGACATCTTGTTAATAATACATGTATAAAAAAGAACCCAACACCTCTTCAATTATTTCCATCTGTTCCTGTCTTCCACCCCCAAACGCCACACATACAATTTGCAGAGTGATTAATTTCCCATAAAATAGATACAAAACAAAGAATAAACAACTTAAAGATTAATTGTACTGATAACATCACTTAGGCTTTTTTCACATTTTCTTTACATATCACAATATATCAATATAGTGAATTACATTTGTAAAAGAACAGACCATCCTACCTCACATGGTAGCAAATGTTCAATTATTTAACAACTGTCTCATTTGGGGGAAAATATTACTATACAAGCTTCTTCTGTGCTTGTTTGTGAATGCAAGGACAGATTTCTTCATGTTATATAACATATGCACTGTGATTTTGATGCAAATACTGAAAAAACTGCATTTGTGTGTTTGTTGCAGCCTCAACCAAATTTGTGAATGAACGCAGGCTAGATGGTGAGTCACGTATACAAAATTGCAGTATAATTATGTTTGTTTTGTGCATATTTCACAGAAATAATACCTATAATTGTCTTCCCCCCCTCTTTCTAGTTGTAAATATGGATTACAGCATGGATGGAACCAATATTGCCCTTGCAGTTTTTATCCCGACTGCAATCATCCTGGTGGTTGTTCTCGGGATTTATGTCTACTTTGCAAAGTAAGTCGCAACTTTTAACAACATTTATTTCATTGTCAATCCTTCCGGGCTTTTACAGGATGTTCCTGCTTCTCTACTCTTTACTCTTTACTCAGGATCCAAGGGAAGACCATCAGAATGCCGACATCCCTGCCGCCGTACAATAACATGACCGAAGAGTCAGCTTTCGACAACCCTGTGTATGAGAGCGGAGTAAGTACAGATGTCATGAGCATGCAAGACGTGGATTCACAGAATACCAGTGTGCTGTCCTGATCCTGTCCCATCTGGCTCTCATCGTGTCCTCATCTCATGGTTCACCAGCAGAGGGCGCCCTCCACCTCGCTTGTCATCATCAGTAAAAACGTTTGTCACCTCATTCTGTTGTTTTGCATCTTGGATTTCCATATTTCATCCACATAGTAAAGTTGCAGTGCATCATTCACATTTCATATCCTACCCCTGTCATATAAAGTGTTTTATGTTGCATGCTGTAAAGGTGTGTACATTTGTTAGTCTGCACACATGTTTTATTTTATTTTTTATTTTAAAAACAAGAACGTTAAAATGTGTTACTATTATCATATGTTTAATGAATTATTGTATTACTTTTTGATGGTTATTATAAGTGCTACATTATGGGAAAAGTGAATATATGGATTTAAGTTATCTTTCGTTTTTTTTATTGTTTTTATATGCGGTCTCAATTGCTTCCTCTTGTGTTTTTCCCACGCTCCTTCAGCCCTGGCAGTCTCATTCTAGATACTAAACCCAGTTTGTTCACTTTGGCCGTACTGCTGAAGAACTTTGAGGTGAGATCTTCTGATGTTAGAAGCTCATCTCACTCACTGTCATCCGACACTTCCATCATGTTGTTTGTAATACCTTTAATAACCTGCCACACATTGTGATGTGGTTTTACAGCAGAGCTTCAAATGGCATTTGTACACAAAATCAACCAATCACTCAGGAGCTCTAACAAGCCATTTAGGACAGAGAGTGAATACACATACTATTCAGAGATGCTGTATGAAAAACCAATGTGAGTTTGGAAAATTGCGCAATATAAATCTATTTTAGTATACCTCGACAATGGAAGATCAGTAGAAATGGCCATAACATGGGACCTTTAATTAAAATTAAAAAAATGTATTCCAAGACTAATGGATAAAATATTTGAAGGGTTTAATAACTCGGACAATAATGAAAACTCTAACATTATATATCTGACTTTTTTTAAATTGTATTTCCCCCACTTTTTTCCCCCATTGCATCTCTGTCATTCTACATTTCAATAAAGATATTGTTGTGTTATCTTGAAACAAGGTGTGATTGAGGCATCTACTTCACATGTATAGAGATACAACAGTTTCAGTCCATATACCGCATTCACAGTTTTTTTTTCTTAATTATGAAAATGATAAATTGTGCACTATGAACTTTAAAAAAAATATCCAAATGTCTTGAATTCTTTGCTCTGAAGAACAAGGTTACCATCCATAGAAACATTGGCTTTCTAGATATAATACATTTTGAAATTGTTAAAATATTGTATGTATAACATTTAACCTGGGATCCGTCCAAATTGAGACCTTTGTCAAAGGAGCCGTTGTCTCCCTATATAAAGGTTACATAAATAAAACACTAAAAAGAACATGTAAAACTTGTCCGCATGAGATACTTCCAAACAGATGAGACATTTAACATAGAATTAAATTGAATAAATGGGAACCATGGTCACGGACAATATTGAATGGTGCACGCTACTTAAAAGTATAAAGCATCACTTTACTTTACGGTATATGTTTTGTAATTATCTTGTTTATTAAACTGATAAAATAAAATTGTAACAGACATACACATTTAGAAAAAATAAGCTATAATTGGCAAAAAGTATAGTCGAAACAGGATCAGATATATCCTGATGTGTAACAGGTCGCGCAATCTATCTTTTAACAATATCATAATTTCTGTTTTTGTCGAGTTCATTTATTGTGTATGTTTTATAATTTAAGTTCATTAAATGTGTAAGAAAATTCAAAAACATTATTTATTTTATTTAAAATTGCCAACACTTCAGAGTTGTGTTTCTATCTAAACTCACAGTTACATGGCATGTATGTCAAATAAGAATGACATGATTGAAAATAGAGAATGTACGTTTGTTTTGATATGTTAATCACAATGTGTACAACTATATAACTCTGTCTCCTTTTTAACATGTTAATTTGTCTGGTCTATACAGGGCAAATGAAAAAGAATAAAGGTGTCAATTTAGAGACCTTTAAGAAAGAATTGCTCAAGCTTTGTCTTTTGGGACCCTCTCTACACTGCTCATATTTTTTCCGCCAACCTTTTGTTCCAAAATGATTTATTTCCATTTTTCCCCTTTCGTGTGTATTACTGTAAATATGTTTCTCTGTCCACGGTCTAATCTGTGAATCTGTGAACCACCATGGTGATATTTTTATAAAGTAAACAGGTGACGACCGTTGGTGATTGTATGTTTTTTGATTACTTTTTCACGCCCTAATGCAGTAACAATTAGAGACTGAGGGGAAACGATGCGTTGATTGTTGAGATCTGTTGGAAACCAATATCCAATTATCCATATTCTTTGGAAATTTGACATCATTACTTTCTTTTCTTCGTGTGTATGGGTCTGCTATTTGTAAATAAACTGCCTGTCCAATAAGAGTGCCTCACGACTGACTATAACCTGAAAATCACGTGTGAAAATGTTTGTAAGAAAATTGATATTTTTTGTTTAACTGTTATTTTGTAGGCCTGACATTCTTAGCACTCCACGTTATGCTCGGTCCTTTCCATCATGCAGTGTCACTTCTAGAAACAAGGGGAAATTATGCTGGATATTTCCCTATGCGAGCTGATGTGTTGTTCCAACTGCAGACAGCCTCAGAGGATTTCTCACATCAGCTATGCATTAGTTTGTTTTATGTCAAACTGTAAAGTCTGCCTCAAAGGATAAGTAGCAATTTGTCCATTTGTGTGTGTTCCAAAATGTGGTTGCATCTCAGCATTTATGGAGATAAAGGCAAATGTTGGGATAAAAGAAAGTAATGACGGGCTTACTGATGCATGCAACATCAGATTAAATCCTGCATTGCAACCTATAAAGTACAGTGCACAACATAGATCCCCATGTAACAGGGTTTTTAATGTCGTTAAAAAGTATTTCTTTCAGCATCACAGCTGGTGCAACCACACCCAGGAACCAGATTACCTTCAAGTATCTATAATACTCTGATTATTAATACAATAAATTGTTGTTTAAAGTATTGTCATGGACTCATTGAGTTAATTATGAGTGTTATTCATTGGTTAGCACTTTCGGCAGATTATAACAAGCTTTACCTCAGTCATTAATAAACCTGAATGTAAAAAGTGGAATTAATGATTAATAATCTGCCAGATATTTGTTTGACATACCATTTTCTATAAATCTGGCTTTAGACGCAGGGTCATGAGCACATGCCATGTTATTGTAGACTGCATTTTAATATGGTAGGAGGCACCACACACACACTGCAACACAGCTATTTACCCCTAGATGGCAGCATGATAACAAGAAGGACAAGGTAAGGAATAAGGTGCAGACTATTTATCATGCCTTTGTTATGCTTGTACTGTCTTACTCATTCAATTTACAATGTATACAATACTCACTTTCTATTTATTTTTGTAGTCCTGACATTTTTTCAGAACTTATATTCACTCTTAAGACTTTGAGAAGCCCGACCTTAACCGTAACCCTTGACTTTTTTACCCAATTCACAAAGAATTGAAACTTAAATGAGACATGGACCAAAAAGAAAGGAACATAAATGGTTTGGGCAAACACATTTAGACTGTACTGAAGTTAGTCTATTTTAAACGCTTCAAACTTGAGACTCCAGACACTGTGAGACAATAGAACAGGGCTCCATAGGAGAAACAGCAGCTCCTTATGTTCCTTTAAATATGAAAGAATACAAAATAATTTTTTTGATTTGACAAAGAAACAGCACCAAGTTGACAGAGTTTACAGTTTACATAGATCCACAGTAGCGGGACACAAGAAGATGTCTATAGATTTAAAAGAAAACCCCTCTGGATTTGAATTGTAGGATCACATGTTTATATCTATATGTTCTATACATCTTGCTTTAGATGCAGGATCATGAGCACAATTATGAATTGCTGCCATGTTATTAAAGACTAAAGTTAAAATGTCTAACAATGGTACACAGTGCAGGTCATAGTTACGTAGAGAAGTGATAATCCACATCCTACCTTATTTATGGTAGTACAGGTCACAATGCCAACCTGCCAACATTTTCTTTAGTAAAGACAGGCTTCCTGGTTGGGCTAGGGTTAGGGAGGGTTAGTAATGCATTCTGCTATTTTATATCTGTTACAAAATCGTTTACAACCAAGTCCATCTTTTCGTTACTCCAGCTTTTGTGTTTGTGTGGAGCTGGTCTGTCCCTGGGAGCAGTCACCCGCGCTTTCAGCTGAGCTTTCACTCTGAGGCAGGGGGCACCAAGCAGCCTGAGCCATTAAAATGTAAATTTCCCCGTGCAGTCAGTGAAGGTTGAGGAAAAGGGACCACAAGTGAGGATCTGCTCATGTGTCAGCCTGTTCTCTTTGTTCACATGTTAATCACCAACACACTGACTTAATGTTTGCTATCACAGAGAGGAAGAATGCAATTGAGAAGGGGTATGATAACAAATAAAACAATGATTGCACCAAGGTTTAGCTGATGTAGTTTACACCCTTTTTATGTGTGTTGTTTGAGATTCAAATTACAAACCATTTAATGAAGGCTGGATCTGATTCAGTTCTAGTATAAGGAATACAAAATTACAACTTTTTCTTTAAAATGTGTCGATAAAAGAACAGATATCACATCACTTTACTTTTGAAATGGGTAAGACCAGGTAATAATGATGTATACAATCTGAAATATCAAATACATTGAACAACAAATAGCTTCTAACCTGTTAAGCCCCAAGCCTGTTTTTCAGGCCTCGAAAAGGACATTCCCAGAACAAATGACAATATTTTCCCTTCTAAAAGGGATAAATTAATCATTTTTTTCTCAAAGTAATGATAAACCTTTGAGTTGGATGTAGAAAAGTCAGAATCAATATAGATTTTTTTATTTTAAAGTAAATTCAGATTGAACATAGTAAAAAAAATGTAAATTATAGTGTCCGTCCAAAAATAAACCATTACTTATAGTGAAAACCAGCGCCATATAGACTGCGAGTTACGTCATCTCCGTTCACTCCAATGGACCACTTTTTTACAGCAATGGCGGATCGTGGAGCCTCTCAATCGTTCCCCGGAAGTTAGCGCCAAGGCTAGCAGAGCTGTAGAGTTGCAGCATAATAGACCGTTCGTGACAGACTTTTAAAGGTAAGAAGGAGTTTAAAGATTTATATTGCGGATATTATCAGTACATCTGATTCAAATTAACATGTGTATTAAAGGATGTCAGTGGATTATCCCTAAATTAGTAGATTTAGGGAACATTTACAGATAACAGATAAAGCTAGGATTCCGGATCAAGTTAGCAACACACGTTGAACAGCCTTTTAATTGTAAATTCCGTTCTCTTAATGTCATTTCGTCCAACGTTGTTGAATTAGAGAAGAGGGGCTTCTAAACGGGATTGTATGCGGGGGTGGAGGGAGTTAAATATTAGATAAATATAACTTTGGTGCGTGTAAGAGTGAGTGTTTTTAGCAGAGCCATATTGTGTCCTTGTGATTATATTGATTATTACCTGTCTGTATAATGTTGCAGCTCAGCTGATTTTGGATTGATGGCAAAGGGAAAGGGACTTAAGTGAGAGTGAAAACACAAGGTAAGTTTAATACTACTGTTTTATATAAGTAAGCATACTAAACATGTATTCTATCACTGTATTATATAAGTAATCTTGTTAGTAACCTACTGTATGGCAGGTGGAGGGGCAGTGATGTTACAGGTGGAGGAGCAAGACTGCAAACTCACAAGACAGAGAAATCAAAGTGTGTTCTCCAGAGAAGAGGTTGATTTCACTTCAATTTTTTATTTCATATTTTCTAAAGATGTGGAAATGGCAACAAAAAAAACTTGAGAGCTGTAACCAAGACAACTGTAACAACATGAGTGGAGAGCCACCAAGGTTTTTCAAGTCCCTCTCTTACTCCATTTTGCCAACCCAAACTTCCAGGTACATTACGGGACACCTTGCCTGTTTTTGTGTTTGCGCTCCTCTGGCTGGGTGCTGGCAGGTGGAGGGCAGTGATGTTGGCAGGTGAGGGGCTAGTGATGTTACGGGTGAGGGGCAGTGATGTTAGCTGTTACACACCAGGCCCAAACTTAACACATTGCATCCTTCTTTGCAGTGTCCTTATTCCTGGAAGGGGAATCTGCAATTCCTGCAGAGTTTTGTAACCCGTTGGTCTGCACGCAAAGCGAATTTTTAAAGCCTTCTTAATTGTATCATTGCTCCATTTCATCCCCTTTGTGGTGAGTCTGCCTAATGCCTTAAGTTGGTCTTTTGAAAACGTTTTCTTATATTTGTTGTCCCTAATTTTCATTGTTTTCTTGAGAGCTGCATTTTCCTTCCTGATTTTTCTTAGTGCAGCCTTTGCTTTTTTGGTGATTCCTTCTTGGCTCTTTAATTTTCTCTTTAATTTTTTTAATAGATGTGTTTGACTGGCTGCTGGTTCCCTCGTATGCTGACTGGCTGCTGGTTCCCTCGTATGCTGACTGGCTGCTGGTTCCCTTGTATGCCGACTGGCTGCTGGCTGAGTGGGTGGTGTCCGCCCTCCCTGTCTCTCCTCACTAGCCATGTCCTCTCTTTCTTCACCCTCACTTTCCTTTCTCTCAGTCTCCTCATCCCTTCTTCCCTCAATCTTTGAGACTAATGTAAGTAGAAGACATGGCACTGTACATTTTCGA